CTTCCTAAATCTTCGTCTAACCTTCAGCTTTGAAGGGATCTTCAGCTTTGAAGGGATGGGATGGGGCGGACCACCTCAAAGGTGGCGTTCGATCGGAATTCCTCATGCTCCGGGATGGGATGGGAAGGGACGGAGCATTTCGAAGTGACCTTCATCAGATTCCGATCAAGAAATCAAGCCTTGATCGGAATTCGATGAAGCTCACCTTGGAATTTTTCCGTCCCATCTCATCTCATCTCGGAACATGAGGAATGAGACCAATGGAACATCCTCGACAGAGTTTGGGACGGGATGAACTATGGTACCGGTGTGCCTGTGAACGGCATCACTACACAGCGTATCGCCGAAGAACGAGCCCAGTTTCTGAATGGATGGACTCTCCCGCTTTACCATGGTTATGGTCCCGTCTTCCGAGGACGGAATTCCATCAACCAAGCCCTTATCACTTGTTTTTGGCCTTGCGATTGGCCTTGCTGGCCTTGGGCTTGGTCACCCGCTTCATGTCGCACCTGCCCGTCGTGCGAAAGTCTATAAGGGCTTGGTTGCCGAGACTTCGCAAGAGGGGCAGGTGCGACATGAAGTCGGGTGACGAAGCCCAAGGCCAGCAAGGCCGAGCGCAAGGCCAAAAACAAGTGGAAAAGGGTGTATGCGAGTCCTCCGCCGAAGACGGGACCATATTGCGTCCCCAAAACTGAAAATTAAAAAATACCCGGAACAAAACACACCCGACACACCAAAACACACCCCAACCTACGCTAAACCTACCCCCCACCCAGCGTGAAAAAAAAATCAACACACGTACGCCTACAAATCGAAAATCGGGGTCATTTGGGGGGGGGGTGTACTCATAGTCGTGCATGCCGTAGTCGTTAGACCATGGACCTCGCATCTCTACAAAGCCGGGACGGAGCACGCCGGGTTCTCACCGGACCAGGCTCTCACATCACCAAGCGCGAAGCACCGTGAGGTATTCGGCGAATCGCATGAGGGTGAGCTGCATCCTGCCAAGGGTGTTCGGCATCTTGTGCTTACTTCCTTGCGTACGGATGACAGCTGTGTATGACTTAATTTATTTTCTGGTGCTTTCACTTCCGAAGACAGTTACAAGCACGGTGTACCTGCCTCCAGGGTGCTTGACCATTTTAACACAACGCGGTGCGATCATCCCCTTTGCGCGGAGTGAGGGTTCTCGACCCCGCACAACATAATCAACTCGACCACCATCACGGTTACCGCCCCCCCAAAAAAAACAGAGGTAAAACAAAGGCGGTAATGTGGTTGCTGAGTCCAAGAAGTGATCGGCTCGTTTTACAACATCGCTGCCACGCGACGAAAACCCAACCCCGATGGCAAACACCGGGGGGGGAGGGGGGGAGGAGCTGGTCCGTGCTTCCGGCGCGCTTCGCATGGAGACGGCGCGGGCGGACGTTCGGAGGAGCACGGACGCTCTTCGCCTCGGCGAACGCTCGCTATCGCCGCCGCCCGCCGGCTCTTCCGAGCTTCCCCGGCACAAGCCTTCATATTCCGAGATCGTAAGCAGATCTCCATGCGACGCGAGCCGGAAGCACGGACCAGCTCCTGGTTACTTGGGGGGGGGGGGGGGACATACACCCATGCATCCCCGGGTTTTCCGCCGAGGCGTCGGCGCTTTGGGGTAATTTGGGGGGGGGGGGGACATTTACCCATGAATCCCCGGGTTTTCCCCCCAAGCATCCGCGTTTCCGGGGGGGGGGGGGGGGATATACCCCTGTATACCCCGGTTTTTTGCCCAAGGGTCCCGGCTTTTGGCGCCCCTTCTCCCACGGGGGGGATCCCCCCCGGGGCCGCTGGGTCTTGGGGGCTGTGGAAAACCCCCAAAAAAGGGAAAAACCCCCCCCCCCAAAGGGGGATCCTCCCAATCTTTCCATGGATACCCCCAGAACAACCCCCATAACCCCCAAATCCCCCCCCCCGGGGGGCCAATGGGCCAATCAAAACTAACTCCTCAAAAAAAACCAGGGCACAAAAAAATTTTGGAAAATTTTTTCCCCGTTGT